CAGAGAGAGAGAGAGAGGAAAAGGCCATCAAAACAAAAAGGAACCTGGGTCGGGTCCTTTCGGAGCAGTAGCACAAGCCTCCTGATTAGGGCATCCTTCACAAGCATCTGATTTTCCAGCCGATTCAGACTGAGGTCCTGGGCAATCTGAAGCAAAAAAATCGAAATCAAGCTGTGTCTGAATTCAGAGCTATACAGGAAGTAATTAAATCAACATGTAAGGAATACATACGTTCATTGGCGTTGTCGGGTATTTCACAGCCTTCGTTTCCCATTTCTCTTCCTCGCAGACGGCAGATTCTTCGTGTGATTAATATATACAGTGGTCGTCGATAATGTAAATTAAATCGCTTTTTTTCCCTCGGCAAAAGGGTAAAGTCGTCGATCTAAAAAGGTGCAAAGTCGGTTTCTGGGTCAGCTAATGGTCTTAATAAAAGAAGAGACATGGTCCAGCCCTACTTCAAGCCTCCGTCCAATTAGGCCCAGTATTGCTTCGTGACCAGATTACATATTTTATTTTTATGAATAAAAAAATAGGAGAAATTTACTTTCTTTTTTTTTATTTTAAGAATTACAAAATCTGTATTTTATTTATAAAATTACAGAAATTAAATGAAATGACCACACTAATCATCTTTTTTATGTGGAAGTCGTCTATTATAATGAAAGAGCATATTTTATGAAATCAATAAATCATAAATAGCAGAAATTCTATGGCACCACATGTGGCACCATAATATGGTGTCACATGTGATGCCATAGAATTTCTGTCATAAATATCCCCGATCATTTTTCATATCATATCTTTCATTAATATCGTGACAATATCTATCGCCTTTTTAACAAATCAAAGCAGTCTCTCTCTAAACCTTAACATTGGATTTTCTCCTTGTTTCAACAAATTTACGCTAAAGAGAAGGCCAATGGAGCATGAATCGAAAAATCCAAATAATGTTCAAGACGGAGTAAAGTTAACTAAGTCGAGATCCAGTACAAAAACTTGTCAACTGCAAGATTGTTCAGAAAAACTTCAATTTGCTAAAAATCATATCACAGTCACAATTTGGAACTGCTAATAATGACGTATGTGGCGATCAGAAATTCTAATGCGAAGCGCATCTTTACACTATCAGCGCGAATTCGCTTTGCCATGCTACTGAGGATCCGTCGTCCCGATCTTTAAAGTGGCGATTGATTTTGTTCAGGCTTGGAACTCTTTGTGGAGATCCATAGAAATATTTTTGGCTCTTTCCAATTAGTTTCTAGTCATTTGTTCAAATGTGTTAAACAATGCTTCGACTATAATATGTAAACTAGTTATCATCCTGTGCACATGCACAGATGTACATAAAATATTATAAGTAATATGTGTGAATTCAATATAAAAATTACAGATGATAAGCATTTCACATTTTCAAGATATGTGAATTTAATATTAAAATTTTAGATAATAAACATATCACATTTTCAAGATATGTGAATTTTATATTAAAATTCTAGATAATGGACATACCACATTTTCAAGATTTAATCATTAGTAAAAACAAAATAATATTTATATAAATTATTTGAGTACATATGAATTACTATATTGACTAAAAAAAATTTGAGTAATGTAATTTTTATAATTTGGAGGAATCACGGTCAAATAATTTACTTGAAAACTTTATTATTATTATTATTATTATTATTATTATTATTATTATTATTATTATTATTATTATTATTATAATTAATGTTATTATTACTATTCTTATTTGATTTTAAAGTTTTTTTACTATAGTATTAAAACTATTTACTAATTATTTCTAAAGAAAATTGTTTCATGAAATACAAACTTATAATAATAATAATAATAATAATAATAATAATAATAATAATAATAATAATAATAATAATAATAATAGTAATATCATTCATAAAACCTAATTAAGTGTAATCATGTATTTATAAAACCTAATTAATAAAACCTCATTTATTTTCCCTCCAAAAGAAGTTACAAATTTTGTCATTCATATTTTGCCTTTCACATTAATGCACCATATTAAGTGTAATCATGTATTTTTTTTTTGCTATTATATTATATAATAGCTAATGCTATTACCAACTTATAATATTTCACACTAAATATAAATCACATAAGTATAAACAATTTTATTGTTTCAAGATATTAT